GACCATAAACAGGCCATAAACTTCATTACCACAGTATTTGACTGCTATTCAGAACACCTTATACCCCAGCGAGAGGGGTATGCATTGTTTAACATTTCGAGGAATGGAATTGGCTTTTGTGTACACTCTGTTAAAGATCGACGCCAGTTGGACTGACCTAAAATTGGGCTGCATAGCACGTAAGCACTCCCCCACCCTGACTTGCCGGGTCATCTGCGACGTCACATTGGTGAAACTTCGTCTAGACGACGTCACCCCCCGCGCCGTCTCCTGGACGTTACATATAGTGTGCCGGAACGTCGACAGAGTTATTCCCTCACTTGCTCCCCCTCCCTCGGCCGCAATTTTATGGGCATTCCCGAATGACTTTGGTCAGATAGTGACGAAAAGATGTGTAGGGTGCCGGCAGATCGAGGTGGCGACAAACACGCGTCGTGCAGTTGCTTCGCCAGGTAGTCGCCACCTCGTTCTATGCATTCCATTCTATGCACACCTGACAATCGCATTGCATATTACCCAACTTAGATCACACGTATTCGGACCTCGAAGGTCAATGAGAGGGTCGAAATTTTTGGGTCCTAGTAAAACTTTTGCGCAACCGGTTAAGCAGGGATATGTATTGTTGGGAGCTGCGCAAATAATAAAGAAAAAAAGCTATAAGAAAAGAACGATGAACGTTGAATCTTCCAAATTGTTCCCAAACAATTTCTTCATTCGGTATTTGTATTTGTGCGTAACTGCAACTGCACATAGCAAAGCTTCGATTTCATTCACTAGCATGAACGAAGGTAACGGGCAAATAGGTTCCAGTGTACATAATAAGACGTTTAACTTCAAAATGTTCCCTTACAGGTCTGGCAGCGAAGACTCGTTAGCCGAAGCGGAGCTATCAACTTCCTAGAATTGGACCGAGTTTAGTGAAAAGTAGGTCCACTCATCGAGAATGGAAACTACAGATTGTTTCATGTATGTAGGAGTGATAATATCAATCGCGAAAACAACCCCCAGCCTAGGTGTTGAGCTGGTTTCTAACACAACCCGACTGCAGCCGGCTTACAATAGTGTCCGCGTTCGAATCCACAGATTATGGCTCTTGACTTCGGGTTGTCTAACAATAATGGCTGCTAGTATTATTATTATAAGTCAGCTGTAATGGGTAAACGCAGCGGTGTCGAGGAAGAAATTTGATAAATCTGTTTCACACAGTCACAGATGAACTCACCATATGAAGTCTGTCGCCTTCCTCATAAGGACCCCGAGTTCCCTACAGTTTCGGATCTCGAGTGACTTCTGTCACTTACGAGAAACTCTAAGCTACATATCTGGATACCCTCATCATCGTTACCACACCAACACGTCATGTGCATTTGGGACTCGCAAACGATGTCCTTTGGGGAAGTGTAAAAGACTACCTCACTCAGACTGAACCCATAGTTCCTTTTATGGGTGAGTGGGGGTTGCACAGCGACAACCTAACAGAATGTGTTTTAAATGATGACTATTTTTGATCTTCCGTAATATCATTATCAGCTTATTAAGGGCAAGATCTCCCTATTTGTAGCAAGATGGCTAGAAACTGTATGGATAAAAAAGAAAAATTGACAAAAAACGCGTCAATTACATGCTGGCAGGCGAAAAGCGAGCAGATGTTGGTTAGTCGAAGTAGCAATAAAACATCGTTGGGTTGTCTGTTCGTGACATTCACTACCCATACGGAGATATTTTCTTTTGGGAAGCTAATGTATCGGTATGCACCCATTCCTGAGTATCCAGGGTGTCCCAAAAATGTGTGCACAGTTTCGATAGTTGTCAACCTGTTGTTTTTTATAATTTTATATTTTCAAAAGAGAAAAAAATATTTCCAAGTATCGTTTCATTATTTCTTTCACTGCATTTCGACTATCGCAACAGTGGCTGAATTGGCGAGAAATCTTTGAACACGAATGCACCCGAATACCAAGGGAATTGTTTCATGGTGTGTACTATTCCATTGCTTCGCGTCGTCAGCAGTGTCATCATCAAAATGGACGCCAGTTTGAGAAAATTCAGTGAAAAAACAATAAAATGATACTTGTAAATATTTTTACATTTTCATAGTAAAATTATGATAACTACCAATTTTACAATTAGGTAAAATGTGTGCACATTTTTTGGGACACCATGTGTGCGTAACACAAAGATAGCACGCTAAGGGTTCAACATGAGAAGCGCAGGCAGGTGTTTCCCGGTCGTTGACGATCATCAATACGCCATTGGTATAGGTGAAAGTCAAGCAAGCGCACCACCCTCACTGCTGTGGTTAGCATCTCGCTCGATCCCATTCTCTTCGCCCACCGGCTTGTTACTGAAGCCAACAAATTTTGTGCCATAGAACGCATGCCACATCTAATGCAAAGCTAGCACGCCAGGGGTGCAACGGTAAAGACCGCGAAACAGCTGTCTGTGTCTTGCCTGTTGCACTATTAGCGTGCTATGCTTGTGTGTGGCATCTGCACTATGCCATAATGTTCGCGGTCGCCAGTAGCAAGCTGGCGGATGGACAAAATGAAATCGAGCGAGATCCTCACCGTAATAGTGAGGGTTACGCGCTTATGTGCCTTTAACACCTGGGGTCGTGTATGGCTGGCAAATAACGGCTCATAAGCCAAAAATTGCCATTTCATTTCCCCCTTTTTATTAAGAGATTAACAGATTTTTGCTTAATTTGAGTTGACCCAATTGTGAAAAACTCGAGGCGTTCGGCGGGGTTTGAACCCGCGTAGTAGAGAAGGCCTTTACCGGAAGCCAGCGTTCTAACCACTGAGCTACAAACGCCCCACCTCGCACATGAATTTAATCACACTTGGGTCGGTATTGCCGCCCAACTTTACCGCTGGTATGGAATCCACCAATATGGAACAGCAAGGTGACTGCCTAAGT